GCTCAAGGCGGGGTGGCAAGCTCGTGCCGCGACGCTTCCGCGGCAACGTCGGGACGATGCATTCCGCCACCTGCGTCGCAAGCTGGACCAGTGGTCCCTGCCAGTTCTTCCGGGGCATCGTCCTGGCAGATCTTTGAACCGCATGCACGACATCGCAGCAGTGGTTCCGCCGCGGGTGCTGGCTGCTGCATTGCGTGGTGTGTTCAACGGATGGGTCACATCGCGTCGATTTCAAGTCCGCGGAGGCTGCATCTTCAGATGCAGGGGCCGCGACGACAGCATTGAACATTGAGCGCTTTGCACATCATTCCACAAGTTGTGCTGGACAAATGCCGGTCTCGAGACGCCGCCGGCACGGGCGTCTGTCCGACTTTTTGATCGTGAGTCCGTGCGTGGCTTCTCTGCCAGTGCACCTCTGTTCGGGCGGGGGGTTCGCCAATGCTGCGTTGCTGCGCGCAATTTGTGTTTATGCTCTGCGCAGGCTGCGCGGTGCTGTCGCCCGCGGCAGGGTCCCCCGCGCCGACTTGGACGGCATGTTCGGCGAATTTGTTCGTGAGGGGCCCCGAGGCTCCGCGAGGGCCGCGTCGTTGGTGCTCTTAGCGCGCAAAAGGCTTCGTACTTAGCTTTTCGCGGCTCTTTCCCTTCCTTTTCTGCTGGTGCTGTTGTCGTCGTCGTCTTCCTCTTTTCTCTCCGCTCCCTCTCCGCTGGAACCGCCGCCTGGCCACCGCCAGACAACCATAAGGGTTGCTTTTCGCGTCTCCTTCTCCTTCTCCTCCTTCCTTTTCCTTTTCTGTCCTCCTCCCCTGGTCCGTGGCGGCCCCTTTTTTCGGGTTCCTTGCCCAGATTCGCAAACTTAGATACTCGCGCTTTTACTGAGCCTTCGACGCTTTTAAGTGGCCGGGGATGGTGCTTGTCTGCGACATTCACGTGGTGTCCCGTCCCAGACGATGCGTTTGTGCGAGAATCCGTATCGCTCGGACGGTGTATGTATATGTCCTGTGTTCTCGCTCGCGTGCGCGTGCCCGGGGCTTGGACTCTGGCGTATAATTTGTTTTCGGTGTCTTCGAACCTCGGTGGCGCGCAACGGCTCGCCTAATGCAGGTTGGCCTGAGCGGTGCTCCTTGTGTTCTGACGTTTTCTTCCTCTTGCCTCCTCCTCCTTTCGCCTCCTCTGTCCTCCTCCTCTTCCCTCCCGCGCTTTGTGCGAGCGCCGGCGTCCACCCAGCAATGCCTCTGTCCGCGTGGCTTTTTTGGCGTTGACCCTGTAGGGTAATTCACAGGTGCCGCCGCAGCCGTTCTGCGCGGACTTTGTTGGCGCCGTCCGAGGCCCTGGGGGCCCGCGGGCCACTTGGAATCTCAATGGGCAAGAATATATGGTTGGGTCCTTCGCCGTGTTTTTCTATTTTACAGAAGTCGCTGAAGATCAGCGGCGTCGCTCCTTGCGCGTGCCCGCGTGTTCTTGTGGATGACGTTTCGCTGCAATGAAATACTTCGGGTCCTGCCAGTATGCCGCTGCTTGAGCGGGCTTTGCGTATCTTCGCAGCCGACGTGCTTGGACCTGGGCTGTGGGCGCAAGCCGAGATGTCGGGGCCGGTCACCGGGATGCAGATTCGTCGAAGGTTCACTTCCAGAGTTGTCAAGCGCCTGGCCTTGCCAGACCATCCCTGGACGAGGAACTCGTGGCGCGAATTCAGGGGACTCATCATGGGAAACGCAGCGCAGCTTCGCAGCAGCGTCGCAGGATGTTCTTTGCCCGCAAGAGCGCTACTGGAGGGCGAGCAGCCAGACCATGGCGCATCGGTGCCCCCCCTGCTGCTGGATTAGGCGGCGCTGTATCTGGGGTGGGCGACGCCAATTCGAAGCGTTGCCGTCATTTTGCCGCAACTTTGGCCAGCGTTAGAAAGAAAGGACATTAGGCGTAGGCGGCGTATATGTCGAGTCCATCCACAATTGCCCCCCCAGCGGCTATTATCAAGTACTCGACGTCTATCGGGGATGGGAGAACGCCGTTGGGGAGGGCCCAGAGGGCCTGGTTCAAACTTTGGGATGTCATGGGACAGGTGCCAACTTGGCAGCAAGCGCGGGGAACCGATGTCGGATGCTGGCACCTGGCCAACGTTCAAACTTCCAGTAACGACCAGAGGGGGTGCCTTTTCGCGAGTAGTTGCAGCCCCGTATGATATAAGGACTGCAGTCCTGGAAGGAAATCAGCGGTGGCAGCGCAGTAGGCTCATCGGGCACATGGGTGATGCACGATGCGTCTCGGTATGAAGTGTGGCGCAGAGCGTTGCATCATGGTACCGCCAAACTCAAGTGTCCTAGACAGAAAAAGGGGCTCTTGCAGCTGCGTGGTCCAATTTCGTGCCGTTGCTGTTCGCATTCTCCTGCCTGAGGTACGACGAATGTCCGCAATGTTTCGTATGTCGTGACCCCAGTGGCTCTCGCGGACACATCTCGTGCGCGTGCCCGCTTTCCTCGAAAGATGGCGAGGACGAGCCCCCCGAGTCTGGTGTTCAGGAAGGTTGAGTGAGCACCGTGAGGCGCCGATTCGCAGTGGTCTCGATTTGCGCAACTTCATTTTGATAGTGTGTGTCATGCCTCTGGGGTCTCCAGGCTTTCGATCTCCCTGCGGGCTTTTTGCCTTGCCCCTGAGGTTCTGGCGTCTGGAAACTTCTGTGGCGTCTGCAATCCCGAGTCTTTCTTTGAGGGCAGTTGCCCCCGGAGCCCCATTCCAGAGGTCAAGAGGACTGGGCGGGGAGTTGTTCAGCTTAGCGACGCCCTGCTCCCTGTCAGGGGCAAATATGGGGCCCTCCCGGGGCCCGGGCAGACCGCGGGGAGGGCAAAGCGCTGCGCCGTCCGTCAGGCCTTGCGCGCGGGCGCCACTCACCATGGGCTGATTTCAGATTAGCAGGCCGCGGCGAGGGAACGCAATGCCCGGGGTCCCGAACAGGCTCTTGGCACGGCGAAGCACGCCGCCATCTGGAGGTCCATCTTCCAACCCAATGATCCTGAGCCACTGCAGGTCTTCTGGCGCCCGGCCCACTTGTGTTTGGATGACGTTTTGGAGCGGGGCCTTTGTGTTAAAACGCGGGCCTGCTTTTTGCGGGGCCCGGCGCTGGGCCCCGCTTGGTGTCCGAGGGTTTCGCGCGAGCCGTTCAGGGCGGGCTTCGGTGCCGCCGTGGCATTATCTGATTTCTTGGATGTGCGGCCCAGAGGCTGCTTGCGCGTTCTAGGTGGACGGTGGTGGATCCTAACTTCCCTCTTTCGGTTGATGACGGCCTCTGTTCCCCCTCGCCTCGCCGTCGCCGCCCGCTGGATTTGGCACTTCTCACAGCTTGGCGAGCGGCGCTATTTTCGCTGCGGCAGGCGCGTTAAGGACTCCACCTCGCTGCGCGCTTCTGTCGCGCGAGGATAGCAGGAGGTGCGAGCCCACTTCGATCCAGCAGCGCGTGTGCGATGTTTGGTTCCGTGGGCCTGATGTGGCTTCGTTTGAGGTTGTTCGCTCTCGGGCGGTGAAGGCTGCCCGGGATCACGCGGATTAGGTGCTTGCCGAGCCGTCTGAGGACCAAGGTGCTAGAAGCCCCATTGCGGCAGAGTGTGTGGAACACGGTCCTGCTGCGCAGAGCTCCGAGCCCCAGCCGTTTGCCCAGTTGGGCCATGATGTTTTTTCCCCCGCTTGGCATTCCGTTCCGCTGCCGCCGCTGCGGGGCGTGCGGCTCGCTCGGGCGCATGTGCGAGCTTCGGTCTGATTGTGCCGGCCCCTCAGATGCGCCGTCCACAACAGCCAACCAGCGAACGGCTATCAGGCGACTTGAATTGGGGGTCCACTGGAGAACAGGCCTGAGGATCGCGCCTCCTGCCCCTGCTGTGCCAGAGAGCGCAGCGACTTGTGTTGGCCCCGACCCTGGGTGCCAAAGTGCTGGGCCCTTGGCTGGGCCACGGTCAGTTTTGTGATCTTGGTTCCGGGCCCGCCCCGTCGGTAGTCGTCGTCCGTCGCCCCCTCCCCCCCCGCGCCTCGCGTTTGTTCGTCTTTGGCCTGCGGTGGGACGAGTTCGACGTGATGCGACCCGTCGGATAGGCGGGACACCTTGCGAGACGGCTGGCGCTGGCCTGCTGTTTCCCCTCCCTCCTCCTCCCCCTCTTCCTCCTCCTCCTCCTCCTCGTTCTCTCCTCCCTGCTGTTGCCGCTCCTCCTGGCCCCTCCTGGCCCCGCCCCTGCTCCTCCCGGAAGGGGCGCAGGATTGCGTTCGAAATTCCCAGCAGGGCGCGTCGCCGCAGGGTGGCGCCTGGATTGCCCTACTGGGCGCGCTAGCGCGACATTGCGCTCGAATTGATCATCTAAGCGGAACGCGGCAGGCCTGATCTGCGATCGACATGCCAAGCAGGACGCGCCTGCGCAAGATTGTCCTGGCCGTCTCGTGGCCCCCTCGGGCTGTCTGCGGCCCTCTTGGGGGGGCGCTTCGGAGCGCGCTGGGTGACCTCTTGCGGGGCCCCCTTGCGGGCCTCCCGAGGCTATCTCGATCGTTACTCACTCCTGTGTTCTTCTGCCTCGTCCGCCTCCCCATCTTTCCGCAAAGACGGCGGCGCCGCCGCGAAGTCGACGGCGACGACCACGAACGCGCCGGCGACTCCGGCCACAGCGACGGCGACGACGACGACGATGACGACGACGGCAGCGGCGGCGGTGGCGTCCGCCGCGTCCACGAGGGCGTCCTGGAGGCCCCAATTTGCCCGAACATCGGGCGTTGCGTGATGGGCGGGGCGACGCATGGAGGTGGGGGCCAAGAAAAGTGCACCTTTTGTGACCCTGGGGACCCCCAGGGGGTACGAACAGTGCACATGTCTTTGCCCCCCTCGTTCATCGCCTTTCTCATATCAAGTAACGCCAGAGTGCAGACGGCGGCGACGACGACGATGACGACGACGACGGCGGCGACGACGACGACGACGACGACGGCGGCGGCGGCTACCGCGGTGGCGGCGGCGGCGGCGCGCGGCGCAG